AGAAAAACCTTCCCTACTGCTTTGACATAAACATGAAATAGAATTCCAGAGCTGGTATAGTTCTTCTCCCTTGGTAGTCTTGTTTCAGAAACCAGGTGTCTGCCTTCATCTCTCTTTAGGCAACATGTAGTTAGTGATAAATCCACAGGACATTGATAAGAGTATTCTATCAGATGCTCTGAAATATGAGTCTCTCTCCTTCCATGTCTACTAAAATTTATCAGCCATCAGAGCCCAGCCAGCAACAGTCTTCAAGTTGCAACCTAAAATTAATGGGGCATCAGACTCAGTTTTGGTTTATTTACTGAAATGTAAGGAGAACATCCACCAACTAAAACAAGCACCTTGTTTTATTATTCGAACATTTAAAACCTGCTGGTCCCCCTTAAGCTTCTAAGTGTCAATATTTGACAATGCTATTGTTTCATTGTTGTTCTCTTGAATTTGACTGGCATTCAGTTCTGAAAGTTTTCTTGGCATAATTTCATCATTTCCTCTTCTCTTCTAATTATTTGCTTTGAAATATTTAAGCAAGCTTCTAAAGTTTTATAAGAAAGAAATACTGCAATATTTATTGTTACAGGTATCTGTCACCAAGGTTGTACTGAATGACACAACTGATGCAGTAGCACACTAACCCAATATCTCCCCTTACGTATTTATGTCTGACATCTGAATTTTTGTGTCTCAATGCATGTTAGTACTTGCCCTCTCCATTGCCCCCTTGTGGGTGCCTATGTTCACCCCAATAGAGAAAGAAAAGGGTTCTGAAAGCAAAGTTTTTCAAAAGTTGCTTAATGATGGGAGATTCAGTAAGTTTGACTCCACTACTGAGAAGCAATATGGGAATTCTACTGAAAAACCTATGAGAAAATCTATTATGTGGACCATATTCATTCAGGGACAATCAGTCATGTAAAAACAAAATAGTGGGAGGAAAAACAAAATGGAAAATGCACAAAGGGCTTTCCAAATCTGTCCAGGCACCTTGTGATCCAAAATAAACCCAGCCTACATCTCAATATATTTTAATCCACCAGATAGCCCTGGAAAAGCCCACAAGAATTTGTCATATTCCAGCATCTTATATTGATCACATAACTTTTACAATTCGTTGAATCTCTTAACAGCCTCTTCAGAAGAAAAAAAATGACAATGTAGTTTGAAAAAAAATCATTTTATTTTCTTTAAAAATACAGTACACAGCAGTGTGTTTTCTTTCCCGCCCTGTTACTGCTGGTTCACAAAGATAACATGATAAATTTAACCCCGATACTAGGCTGTTATAAATCCTGAGAGTGACTCAGTTACATGCTGATTTACATAAGACAATATGCTGAAAAAGAATAATCTTTCTTTTAACATAAAAGAGTCTCTTCCTGAACTTATGAATCAGATATAAAATTTGCAGAATTACTGTGCTGCAATGACCAACTAAGGATTTCCTTGAAATCCTCATGGTGAATAATTTTAAGTAAAGTGGATTCTAAATTGCTATACTATACCAAGAGGTGAAAACATACTAACTATAATGAGCACATGGGATATGGTGTGATTTACCAAACACACTTGATACTTTGTGTTTCTCAAACATGGCAACTTTAAGATGGACTTCAACTCCCAGAATGCTGGCTGGGGAATTCTGGGAGGTGCAGTTCACATATTGTAAATTTGCAGAGTTTGAGAAATACTTCTTTAGTGGGTGCTGATGGTTGTAACACCCCCTGCACCTTCATAGTTAAAGGACTTGGTTTTTCATTTGTATAAGTACTTTGTAAATGTGTTTGTTTCATTTAAATTATCCAGTTTTACAGAATCTTTGGGAAAATATCCATATGTCAGCTGCATATGCTTATAATAGTACTTGGTATCACACATCTAGAGGTGTGGCATTTTTAATATCCCTAGAAGAATTTAAACCACCTCAGTTGTGTTGTTTGCATTTCCTGATGGCAGTATGTGGCAAAGGTGTATTTTGAGCCAAGTGACACGGTCAGCAAAATCATGGCTCTAAACATCCAGCAGAGCCAGGTTTCCTTCATTTCAAACTGCAGGCAGGAAATTACTTAAATGAGTAAGAAATAAAGGATTTGTAGCTATGTTGGTTGGCTAGGTGGAAAAATTCAGTCTGAATGCAGTTATTACCAAGTTTATAGAAAAAAAATATTTTTAAGTCAAGGGAGAGAGAGATTTGAATTTAGATTTCAGAGAGATTTGAATTTACAAAAAAAAAATGTAAATAATATTTGTACCTATCTATATTCTGTGGTATCAGTATCAGGAAAAGGCTGCACTAATGATACTTCTAACACTGTAGGCCTTTTTAAAAATTGCTCATGGTATCATGTAACTATTGAAGAAAATGAAATGGGAATAATTGTAGCTTATCACAGATTGCTATATTCATCTTTTTAAAAATTGGCAATTGTACTACACAGAATTCATCTTTTTGTCTAGGGCAAAGCAGTCTCTTTAAGGGAAAAACATGAGTAGCTTTTTATCAAACACACTGTAACCTTTTGTGACTTTTAACTAACATCATTTGTACTTTCATGGTACGGTTAGCATTTAAATGATCATCACAAAGCAGGATTGTCTCTCTCTCTGTGTGTGTTGGGTTTGGTTCTGTGCATGTTTAAAATAATTAATAGCATTTTAAGTACTATTGTTTTAAGTGAAAGGAAATCAGGTGCGTGTCTAGCTTTTTAGTGAAATGGGTTATTTGAAAATATTTCACTTATACTGGAACTCATCCAAAAGTCTAAATCTGAAAATGTAAATTACATGGGTGATGCTGTGCATTCCCTCCCACCCATCTTAGATTGCCATGGTGAGTTAGGTATTAATATTTGATTTTTAATAAGACTGGCGACACACTGTAAAAGTGTGTTGCATTTTATAATCACTGGGTCATTAAAAAAAATGAAAGAAAATATATGCAGGTATGCATTAGCCTTATTTCTCTCTCTCTTAATTCTCTTGTCTGATGCTTTCCTGGCTTATCCAAAAAGATTACCTGAGATACAGAATAAATATTTGGAAGGATGGTAATACTTTGGTTCAACTTCAAACCATTTCGAAGACCATTTTTCAACAAAACCTTTCAAAGACTTCATCACCTACAGCAGTGATCCCCAACCTTTTTGACGCCGCGGCCCGGTACCGGCATCAGCTGGGCGCCGCGGCCCGGTACTGGCATCAGCTGGGCGCCGCCATCTTTTTTTGATGAAAACGTGCTTCCAGTGAGCTTTCTACCCGGAAAAGCTCACCGGAAGCACTTTTTCATGAAAAAAAGATGGTGGCGCCCAGCAAGCCAGCGGCCCGGTAGGAGTTGTTCTGCGGACTGGTACTGGTCCACGGACCGGTGGTTGGGGACCCCTGACCTACAGAACCCACATTAAAAGAAATTATAAACATTAAATCTCCTGGCTTTCAAGCTGTAGAACAGCCCAGCTTTGTTTTTCCTACTGTTTGAAACATCATGTGGAAATAACTTTATCTGGGAGCCTAGATCTCATTTTCAAGAAAGGCAACAAGAATTGTTGGCCATTATATAGACTGAAGCTAGATTAGGCTAGATAATATTCCATGTATTAGTAGAAGAGGTGACAGGGATAAGATCTTACCATGACAAAAATCAATTTTATGTCAATAAAGGAGGGAGCTAAATGTTCTATAGAACACCTGTTTGCAACTATTATACTAAAAGTGATAACTGCACCATGATGAGATTTAAGGTGGATCACAGCAATGGAACATTTTTAAGTGGGAATGGGGGTTAGGAAGTGGACGAAAAGAAAGGGAAGCCAACGTATCAAGAGACAGTGTTCAAATGTTGCAAATTTAGACTATTAAAATGCAAACTGCTCCTCCAAAATCACACATTATTTGAGGCCAAAGGGATGAGATCAATGTACATGATCTGTGGCTTATTCTTGTCCCTAAATCTAATTGTACCTACTGTAGAGTAGAGATTATAGTGATATCCTGCTTAATGCAAACGAAGAAATATTGCACAATTCTACTTCATCTGCTGGTGAAAGAGGAAGCCTTGGATAGCAATGTTTCCCCAACGGAGTGGGGAGTGGCATCAATTTGGAATAAAAGCATATAAGATCTTCTGCCCCCACTGGGAGCAAAGAATATTCTAATTATTCCTCCCAATACGTAAAGGACAGATTCAAAGGCTTTGAAACTACTTTTACAAGTGTTTTCTAAGTCCCCGTAACCTTTAGCTACTACCCATAAAAAGCAATAATGGTACGTTATAAATGAGTCAATATATGATTATGCTGGCAAAAGGTTTGGAGTTATAAACCTTCAGTTTGTGTTTGATAGTAAAAGAATAATCTACCCCAATGTCTACATGTTCTCATTTCTAATCCTAACAACAGGGTACATTGAAGACATTTGAAGAACTACAAAATCAACTATTCAACCACATGAAGTCAGGAAAATATTGAAATAAATAATTTGTTTTAAAATAACAATAGAATACTTATCGGAGTATAAATGGCATTTTTTTTTCTTCAAAAACAGAAGCACCAGTCTTAAGAAATGTGGTATGAGAATATATAATAGGAAGTGCCAGTGGCATCTGAGTTCTGGATAAGATTCTTTTAGAAAAGTGTACACTGAAAATCGGTTTAAATGGGAGTTAAGTGTCATGCTGAGTTTTAAAGACCGGATCTCCTTGGAATACAGTCTAATACTTACATGACCAAGTTAGGAAATAAATATGCCGGAACAGGGGAAATGGTATGTTTATATGACATGCTGAGGTTCACTCTTTCCCACCCAGTCCCTAAATGGTACAATGCTTTTGGTTAGAGTTGGAAAATATTCTTAACTCAGGCATATTCTTCCTAGGTTGCTGTAAATTTTAATGCTGTTAGATCAGATTCTAAGACCAAATCAGTTTTCCTTTAATATTGAAATTGTTTCAGTCATTACGAGTGAACTGTGAAGAGAGATGATGTCCAATGTAGTGAGTAGACATCCTTTTCTCCATCATGTGACTTCTGCAAAGGCTGTGAGGTGGTTCTACAGAGGTGAAAAGAACAAAGAATAGAAGTCATTCATCTGTAAAGATGAGAGGTGATTTTCCCACTGTAGATCCCATAGTTTAGTAGTACTTCAGAAATTCAACCGTACATATCTCAAGAAAATCTAAAATGCTTTACAAAATATTTCACATACATTAAAAGAAGAAGAATAACCCAGTTTATGATTACTTTTCCATAATACTCAATTAAGTCACCACTCTTAAATGATTGAGTTCTTCATACATTTAAACTGGAACCAAATTTTACAATTATTTTATAATAAGTAACTACAATATAATTTTTAAGAACAAACATGGCAAAATCTGGTACATCAAATTGTCAATACTATTTTAATTCTGCATTTCTTGGGTTTTATAAAAAATGTTTTGTAACTCTTGAAAGTGGTATAACATGAAACAAGAGAAGCTTAAATAAAAATTGTATTTACTATTCAGCAGAATGCAAAAATGTCCTCTTTCATTAGCATTTCATCTTTATTCAAGCTAGTTCCACTATTTCATTGAGCAGGATCCATCTATATATTTCTTGCGTAAACATATTCATAAGAAAATACATGCATGCACCCAAAGCATTTTAAAAAGCTTGCTCTTTAAAAATATAGGAAGGTAATCGGTCACTCTTTTTAAGGGCCAAGTATAACCTTAAATTGGCTTAAGACATAATATGTAATATGTAGGCAGCTAACTTCCGTAATTAGTTAAAATACTGAACAAGGATGAACGGGGGGATTTGATCTATGAAAACACGATTCACTGAAATTAATATATATTTTTATGAATTTCTTTATTAGTGTACATTAGAGGCCACTGATAATAGGTTCAAGTCTTTTGCTACCGATTCTAATCTAGATCAAATCTCCTGTTCACTTAGAATTCAGTCCTTAAAGCAAAAATGAACATTTTTTTCCTCCTACATCAAAATATACAGGAATATCCTCTGGAAATTGGTTAATCAGAACTTCTCGCCTCCAAAGGGTCTAGATCTAGACTGGAAATTCATGGAAATACCCATGGAAACCGGAGATTAAAGCCCTGATTAATCAACCTCAAGTGGAGAATCTTAGTTCATTTGCTGTTTATTTTGGTGTAAAGAAAAAAAATCTGCTACTTATGTTTCTGATGTTGTGGTAAGCAATCTAGGGATTTTCAAAAGTTTTCATTATAATTCCATAGCAGCAAAGCCACTCATGCTCTAAAGAATGCTGTAAAGAAACATTTTATTTGGTAGTTTGTAGCTGAACAGCAGCAGGAAAACAACTACTTTAGAAACTACTCATAGTATGATATGGAATTGGGGTGGGATCATTTAATTGGAGTTGAAAGTGACCATAAAACTACCTGAACAATAGATCAGGCAGCATAAACCTTTTTGTAGTCAACTTACCACGGCCAACTTGCTGCTGGACATCTTGCCACAGCCAATTCACCACAGGACAACTCAACAACTTTTGCATCAAATAAATGCCTTAAAAAAAGGGGTGGAAGAAGTGCTACACAAAGTACCCAAAGGGACATTGCAGCACATATGTTCCCTGGAGCAAACTCTTTTTCCTTAAAGCTCCCAAAGACTCAAGGTAGCTCCTTCAAGAGCCTTTCCCAGGTCACATATGTATATGTGTGCACGCATATTCTGCTTCACGAGAAAGTGGTGGATGCAGAAAACCTGGGAAAATCCTTGAAGCGGCTGTTCCTCTACCAATGTTTGAACAAAAGTGCTTTTTATTTTGGTAACAGTGTGTTTCATGAAACACCCAGTTCTGTGCAAATGTTTTTGTACAGAACTACTGGGAGATTCAAGGATTTTATTTTTAGGTCAGCCATTCCTCATTCCAGAACCATATCAGGGGGAACTCCAGATGTACTACAAAGCCAATGGCAAATATGGGAAGGAATTAGAGAACTGTAAAAGGTGTCCCTATACAGGGCCCAAGATAGAGCTTGTTGGACTCCTCTGAGAATAAAACCTTCAACAATGCCTTTTGATCTAGCACTCAGTCAGAGCAGACACACTGAAACCCATGCAAAATAAAAATAAAACAAATCCATGTTATATTATCAAATTCCTCAGTGAATGTTTGTTGGCACAAGCATTCACCATTAATTCACAGCAATGTTGTGTTTGGTTTTGGGAACAGCAATTCACAAGTTTATATTTTTGTAACATCAGAGGCAGTTACTAGTGAGACGACGGGGGGGGGGGGAAAAACATGCACAGCATGGCAATAGTTATTTCCAACCAACATATCACTGGAGGAGAGCAAACTGGAATAGTTCAAACTATAAAACATCACCATTAAAATAACAAATATATTAAATCTGAACCTTAAGTGCTGGATTACATTTTTTAAAATAGAGATCACATTTACGATACTTAGCAATATGCCAAATAATGATTCTTACTATTTTAAATAGCATTCCACTCATGTAAAGTACATTTTGACAATATACTGTAGGTAATTTATAATATAAATCTTCAGTAATGCACAACTCACTAATCATTTTGAGTATGGACAAGAATACAGAATACAAGATATAATTAACTTGTATTGCTAATCATGTTCCAGCCTGTGCATTTTGTTTAAAAGACAGTATTAAACTGATCGTACGTATCCTCTTAGGTGTTAAAATATTTTTCTCCCAACTTTGCAGGAGATGAATAGGAGAGTAGAATAAAAATGCAGCTTCACAAACTTCTGCATCTCAGAGAGAACTCTGCCTGCACTGAAGGTTCAGGTATGTCCCTTGCAAGACAGCATCTAAACACACCGGTGTGCTTGTTTGCACACACAATTTTATTGCCTTATATGAAGATGTTCAAACTGGTCCATTCCTGTTACCCAGGACAACAGCCTAAAGAGATGGGCTTTAAAAGACTGTTCTTGCAAAGGTTCTTCTTCACCTGCGTTAGCACCTGGGTTCTGCAATAAGTACAATAATTGCATCGCTTGAATCATGTTTGGACAGCTTTCATTTTTCTTCATCTTACCAGCAGGTAACATAAAAGGAAGATGGTTTTGTTTTCAGGGTTAACTTAAATAAAAAAGTATATATGTATAGACTATTTTCTGAGAGTCTGTACTGAAGGAGGACAGAAATTATGTGACACGAGTAGCGGTTCAAGAGCTATGTATAAGCAACACAGTGATCCTATACTTGGCTTGTAAAACATTTAGGTGACCCTGGAGATGTTGTGATGGTTATAAATGCAAGGACTGGTCATAAAGCATTTTTTTCAGTACTGTTGTAAACTGCAAATGGCCACTAAACAAATGGTCATAAGTCAAAAACTACTAGTATAGTAGTATTGTTCAATGTAGTGTAATGCAGTGTAGTGTAATATAGTTGAGTATAGAATGTGGACAAAAAAGAATAACCTCTAGAGCAGGGGTGTCAAACTCAATTTCATTGAGGGCTGCATCAGTGGCCGGGGGTGGGCGTGGCCAGGGTGGAAGGGGCTAGCTTGACGTCACTCTTGTCGGGGGTGCCTGTGGCGGCCCAAGTGCTCTGCCAGTGACGACAGCCTTCTGCAACCCTCTGCCAGCGAAAACGGAGCTCGGGAGGGCTCCGTTTTCGCTGGCAGAGGCACTGTGGGCCGGTCCTTCACTGTTTCTAGGGCGGCCCCATGGGCCAGATCTAAGCAGCCTGCAGGCTGGCCTGAGTTTGATACCCCTGCTCTAGAGGGATCCCCATAACTTATTTATCTAATGCAGTGGTTAATGTGACATGCTCACCAAGCACATTGTATTGACTGAATTTGCCTGGAATGAAACGATCTAATGCTCATAGAATGCCTCCATAGCAATGGCACTTAGACTTATATACCGCTCTGAGTGCTTTACAGCACTCTCTGAGCAGTTTACAGAGTCAGCATATTACCCCCAACAATCTGGGTCCTCGTTTTACCAATCTCGGAAAGATGGGAGGCTGAGTCAACCTTGAGTGCTGTCAGAATCGACCTCTAGGCTGTAGGCAGTTAGCCTGCAATGTTGCATTCTAACCATGGTGCCACCATGGTGTTTTCTTATAACTATCCTCCATAAGAGGATACTTTGAGCCAATCATATTTTTCTCTGTATGACAACAAGCTACACTGCTATTAAATTTCTCACAGGTACATGGAACATGAAGCCATTGGTAGCTGGATTAGAATATAATCCTTCCTGTATGCTTTGACTGAACATGTTTATGTTTAAAAATTAAGATCTAGCTATTTGGCATGGGCATCTGCAGTAGGGTCAAATACACACAAGTAGAAACATGCATCTTATTTAGGCTGAAGAGGGTAAGTTGGTATTTATCTCTTCCATACTAAAATGTTATGAACTGTTCATATTGCTAGCTGGGCAGAGTTAAAGCCTTGACATAAACTACATCACCTAGGATGTAATATGAATTTATAAACATTAGAAATAGAATGTAGATATAATATTCCACTGCTCCCATGTTCCTCTGCCAGTTTACAGTTTTCTCCCTGCTTGGCTTTGACATTTGGAATCAAAACAGTGCTGTGGCTGAGATGTAAAATTAGGATTGAAAAAAACCCAAGTTTGAATCCAATCAGTCATAGAACCTCACCAATTAATTAGATTCACTGTCTATCTCTCAGCCTAGCCTACATTAAGGGCTGTTGTAGGAAAAAACTGGAGGAGCAAGTTATATATAAAACGTACCACTTTTTGAGATCCTAGGAGGAACATGAGATAGCAACTTAAGAAGTAATAATAAAAATAATAGCAACAACAGAGTTGTACTGGCTTGGATTCTGGATAAAGTGTCTGATGTAATGATGCCTAAGTAGAGAAGGCAGACTATATGAATTGTTTCCTCTTATTCATGCATTTTTTAAATTGAACATTTAGCTGCCTCACAATGTTAATGTGGGCAAATAAAAGCCTTTATTTTGACATCTCACAGGAAGGTAACAGAACGGATTACACAAAAGATAACACCCATCAACCAGATGCTTGCTTGAACAAAT